ATCTCCTACGTACTAGCCTCATCTTGCCCCCTTGACCTGTCTGTCCTCCCTGGACTGACGTATCCCCTCCCTAACTCCCCACCTACACTCACCTTTACTGGCTCCACCTCCGCCTCTTTGACCTGCCTGTCTCCTCTCCACCTATCTTCTCCTTTATCCATCTTCTATCCGCCTCCCCCTCTCTCCCTATTTATTTCAGAACCCCCTTCTCCTCCCCCATTTCTGAAGAAGGGTCTAGGCCTGAAACGTCAGCTTTCTTGCTCCTCTGATGCTGCTTGGCCTGCTGTGTTCATCCAGCTTTACACCTTGTTATGTCAGATTCTCCAGCATCTGCAGTTCCTACTATCTCTAAGACTTCTGGATTGCCAGGGTGGACTTGCAAATTGCACCTCAAGGCAAGATCCTACCTTCATCATCGATTCTACCCAACTATGCACATATTTCTTTGTCGGAGAGAATGGTGCAGGAACGTGGTCAAAGAACATGTAGCCAGTTACCTCACCTTCACTCAGGGCAAAATGAGAGAGTGAAAGACAATAACACCAACACTTGGGTACATGGAAAGGTACTGTGAAAATGTGCTAGATTGTACAACATTACTATGAACAAGGTTTCGAAAATGGAACTTAAGGCTGATGTAGATTCTTGATCAGTCACGGAATCAAGGGTTATGATGAAAGGGCAGGAAAGTGGATGTGAAGAATGTGGGATTATCGAATGGTGGAGGGGCCCAATGGCCAACTTCTGTTCCTATTTCTTATGGCCTTATGCACAGTAATCTGGAAACATGCTGGTGTCTTCAAATGTAGCCATTTTACAATCCATCAGGAAAGTTAATTAGTCAGGCCTGATGAAGTGACAGAGCCAAGACATACTGATGTCTGTGATCAAATTGTATATGTAGCTGGTTTGTGAAAAAATCTTCGCCATACTTGTTCTCAAGAAGAGTCTGTCTCAGTATTCATGTTACAAGAGCTAACATAATACCAGAGGACAGATCAGCAGTGTGTGCATATCGTAAACCTTCTGAGATTGCAGTGTGCTGGGCAACACAGCATCTGCTTGATCAGTACTGCTATTGGTGGAGGTCAGCTCCAATTTTAGTTCCAGCCTGTTTCCCTCAACTGATAATCCCAAAGGCAGGTGATGGAAGCTACTCAGTGCCAGAGAGAGCAACATTTTAAGGTTGGGAGATCAGAAGCAGAGGGAGAACCCCTCTTGCAAAAACAAAAGATGCACTCAGGCTTAATGGCTACCTCCAAGAAGAAATCCTTGCAGTTTTCAGGCAGGGCATATGTTTATTAACATAACTACAATTTAAATTTACTGACACCTCTTCCACTGCTGCATAGTGCCGTATCCCTCTGGTCAGAGATAAATTATACATTTATCAGATTCAAGCAAATGCCCACTCAAACACTGACATAAAAATATTTTTTTTGCTCTCAGTTACAGGTGAGGAACCACACCAGCCTCTCACTGTGGCAGTGCAGCCCAGGACAGCACCTCTTGGTAGTGACATTACCCTGGAATAAGTATAGTGCAAACCTTGCAATTATTATTGCAGTTGGAGAAAAAAGGGTGTGTGCGGAACAGCTGTACACTCAGGGAGATATTGATTCCCACAAAAACATTTCCACAGCTTTTACTCAAACTTCTATTCTGAGTGCTATTTCTGGAATGAATTGCAAGCAACATAGGTAGTGTTTGTATTTTAACCTTATGTGTTCGCCCTCTTTTTCTCTTTCCACAGTAAAGTTTGAACAGCATGTGGTCAAATTTTGATTCTGAATATTCTGTCTGGATATATGGAGATGTGAGCCATAACTTTCTGGCTCAGAGCTAAGATTGGTAATGCTCCAGTCATTACTGTGGAAAACAAAAGCAGGCGATGAAAAACTAAAAAGACCTGAGAAGTAATTCAACACCATCACTGTGTCAACATTGCGAAATGAGAGAGACACTCATAACACAAACTATACATTTTCCAAAAAAAAGTCAAACCTCAATTGAAAAAGCCGTCTGACTTGCACCAGGAAATACTAATCCCACATTACTTGTGGGTGTAGGAGAGAATGACGCAAAATAAAGACACACATAATAAAGACAGTTCTGCAGAACAATAAATTTTCTTGGCAGGTGTGACTACGCCTTAAGATTGGGTTGCTCTCTGTTTTATATGCTTCAGGAGAAATCTTAGAATGTACAGATTTGAAATCATGAGTTATGCCTCCATGATATCTGGTGGGTTTCCTCATGGTATTCATAAAGTAATCCCTGACAAATCAAGCATTAATGCGATACCACTGCAGTTGCAGACACCAGTGACTGATGTTCATTAGAACGCAGCAATACTAACTTTTTTTTTGTTGCCACAGTCCTATAGGGCTGATGTCATATGAAGAGAGACAACTGGTGGTGAGTTTAACATAAGGGTTGCCATGCCTCAGGCGATGGGCGAGATTGAGGAGGCATGACTTTGATGGTGACTTCAGCCAGTGTATGAACTGAGCCCGTGCCGTTGGTGTCACTCTGCATTGCACACTAGCTGTCCAGCCAACTGAGCTAACCAACTCCCTGAATTCACTCGTTCATATCAAGCAAATGAGAAACATGTTCCAATACTGATAGACAATTCTTTCGAATCAATGCAATTACAAGTAATATCTAACTCAATTAATATTCTTGTAGTAGCTGACATTAAATTTATGCTAGCCCATTGTAGTGAAGGAAGTGGAACATCTCTATAAGCCGAAAAATGAAAGCATTGTGGTGAAAACTGTTATTTGATTTGGAGGCCACACGGAAGGTATTCAGCTTTCTGTTCTATTCAACGTCAATAGAAATTAATTGACGAAAGTTAATGATTGGAAAGATCAGCCTGGAATCTTTGGTGATAAGGGATGGTGGAAAGGGGTGAAACTGTCAGCATTTGTCATCATTACTCCACTGAAAGCTGATAGCAACTTTGGGAATTCACACATGCATTGGCCAACTTGGAAATCTAAAAATTGTGGGAGTGATACTGTGCTTCTTCAAAGGGTGTACTGTGAAGGTAACCCCAGGCTGCAATCAGTGGGAACTCCCATAAATTGACATGAACATCCAAGCTCACTTGATTAATTTCACAGTGAATCAACCTCAAAGCACCTTTTTCATGAGCCTTGAGAAGCTAATGTAAACTTGTAGAAGATTAAATTTCTAGAAGATACAAATCTACATTATTTTAAAAGAAGCATATATTGCATAATATATAAAACTATTTCTTTATTTTAGTTTTAGCTCCTATCTTAAGCAAATCAAAATAATTCATTTCCCGATCTGAAAATTTAAATGAAGAGTGGAAGACAGTAAATCCATTTAATCTCCTAATTTGCTGTATGTGTGTAAATATTTCAATATGGCATGACTGTCTACCTACTTGCTGGCATGACTGCTTCCACTTGCTATCATAGTTAAACTGTTGTCAAGTAACGGGAAATTCATACCAGTGAGACCATTAGATCTTTATTGGCTGTTTTCTTCATGTTCAGTGATCAGTTGTTTCACTGCTGACCATAAATGACCAAATTGAAAAGTTGGACCAAAGTTGGACCCATTCTGTAATGTCGGGCAGGTACCTCAGTTTCCATTACATATGCTCCTTCACATCTGTTCATGTTTGAGATAAGAACATATAATAATAAAAACAAAAAAACAAGAGTGGGCTGCTTGGCCCTTTGAGCCTGCTCTGCCATTCAATAAGATCATGATTTTAACCTCAATTCTATATTCCAGCATATCCTGAATAATCTTTGTGCCCTTAGTAATCCAGAATCTGTCTACCTGTGCCTTAAAAATATTGATTCTGTATCCACTGCGTTTTGAGGAAGGGAATTCCAATTACTCTCAACCTTCTTAAAAAAAATGTCTCCCCATCCGTCTTAAATGGGTACCTCATTATTTTTAAACTATGGCCCTGAGTTCTTTCCCACAAAAGGAAACGCGCTTTCAATGTCTACCCCGGTCAGGGCCCCTCAGGATTGTATATGTTTCAACTAAATCATCTCTAACTCTTTTAAACTTCAGATGATATAGGAGACTGAGACAACAAGGTGCAGGGCTGGATGAACACAGCAGGCCAAGCAGCA